TCCCCACTGCCGTTGAATACGCGTTGCTATGTGTCACTGGTGTCGCCGGCTGCCACGAACCGGGGGCTCCCTCTAGTGAAGCCGGGGCCACAGGATGAGGCCATGGAGTGAAAACCCACAGGGCAGGGATGACATTGGGGTGCAAACCCCCTCCGGCCACCCTTCCCAGCGCCGCGCTGCTGTGCTGATGGGCTGACCCTTCCCCTCCGAGGCGCCGATTCTCTCTCCCTTGCTCATGCCCAGCTGCGGGGTCGCATCCAGAGCCCCTCTACCCTCTCCCAGTGCTTCGGCATCTTGCCGGCCACCCTTAGCTGCAGCCCAGGGAGATTTCTTGCCTTGCTTCAGCCCTGCTCTTTGCTCCACCGGTCCTCATTTCCACAACCATCGTTGCAGTCCCAGCTTGGCTGCGGCAGGGGTTGGAGCTTGCCAGAGAGTTTTGCCTCGATTCCCCAGGGATGAGCAGGGTTTCCTCCAGCTGGAAACATGGACGTCGGTGCCTGGTGAGCAGAGGCAAAGGCTGGGCTGGGCTGCTGCCTGGAGAGGCTCAGGCCACGGGCATCGTCACACTGGCGTAAACCGTCATGGGCTCCTTGTCGGGGCTCTGCAGCAAAAAGCGGGGAAGCAAAGGGGTTGGCGAGGTGCCTGAGCTGGGGGGGGGCCGTGGGTCGCCCCGTGGCAATGCCTGGGGCAGGCAGCCACCCTTACCTGCGAGAGGGGTGGGTGGCCCTGTAGGGCGGGCGCCTGTGTCTGGGGGCTGCGTGGGGTGCACGGGGCTCTGCCGGGGGCCGGGGCCATGTCTGGGGGCAGGCCGGTGGCTGCAGCGTAGATGGTGGTGCAGGAGGGGTCCTCGGCGGCGGGGGCCACTTTCTGCTTCTGCGCAGAGAGTGAAGGATGAGCAGTGGCAGGCAGCTCACCACGGGGACCCTTCCCTCCCTCCACCCTACATGGACCCACCATTTCCTCCCCAGTTTGCGCTGAGCAGGACTCGGGGAGGGTGGAAAAAAAACACACAGTCTGTCCCCAAAGCCACCCTGGGATGCTGGGGGCTGGGGAAGCTGCAGCACCCAACCTTATTCCCAGCAATTCCCAAATTAACAGCGGCCAGGCTGACTCCTGGATGGCAGGGATGAGTGACCCCGGGGGAGCCCACGGCCACCCCAGTCCCCCCAGCCACAATTTTGCCCTCTCCCTCCCCAGCCGCGGGGCTGTGTTGACACCCAGTGGCCAAAGCCCATCACAGAGGGTGCCGCAGACCAAGGAGGAGGCACCCAGCAACAACCCGGGGTTTTGGGTGCTGCTGCCTTCGCTGCTGCCCAAAGCCAGGCTGCCCCCATCCGAGACCCCCACCAAAGAAACCCCGGCAGGGTTGTGCCCGCGCTCCCCGCCGGCTGCAGCACTCAGGGTCCCGTCACTAAAGGAGTATTTTTTAACCCGTGCGCCAAGGATGGCTGGGGTCGTGTTGGTCGTGACTCACCTCCACCCGCTGCACTTGGGAGTAGATGGTGTGCACCGCGCTGTCCTCGGCGAGCGGCAAGCGCGAGTGCTCCTGGCTGGCTGCAGCGGGATAAAAAAGTCACCAAGCTGTAACGGCAGCAGGGACCGAGGGGACCCTGGAACTTTGCAAGCTGCTCCTGTGCCCCAAGGTGCGGCAAGGGTGAGCCCGTGCTGGATCCATCCCCGCCACGGTGCCCGCTGGCTGGACCTGGCTGCATCCCTATCGCTGCAGCTGCCCGGCCGCAGTCGGAGGATTTCTGGTCGCCGCAGGTCAGCTTTGCAAATTTGTCACTGCAGAGGGAAGGGGCGGGGGGGGGGGGGGGGGCATTCAGTTCCCCTGGAGACCGAGCGATACGATCTCAGAAGCCCATCATCCGGGTGAAGGGCTAGAGATCACGTGCAGTCACATTTCTCTTTTTTTTTTTTTTTCCCCTCCTCTTTTTTTGTTTTGTTGGGTTTTTTTTAAGCTGGTTTCCTTCCTGCCTTTTACTCTATGCTTCAAGAGAAACACATTTTGCTCCTTCCTAAGGCCCAGGGGACTCCCAAGAGGGGGTGTCCGTGGGGATCAGCCCTTTGGTCCATTCGCTGGACCCCCCCAAGGCTCACCCCACCCACGGGCCACCAGCTGCCCCAGCACCCCTCCCTCGCAGCACTCACCCTTGGGCATGGCCAAACGGGCAACGAAGACCACGGTGAACACTGTGGCGAGGGGCACCAACACCATCAGCACGAGATGCTCTGTCCTCAGCCCGGCACTGCCTGGATGGGGGGCAGAGAGGGGAGGTGGTCAGCCACCGGCCCTGGGGCCCAGCGTCACCCAGAGCCGAGCTGAACGGGCTGCTAAAAATCTTTCTTCATCTCATCACCTAATTTTGGGGCTGAAGATCTTGGTAGAACAGGAAACAAGGGGATGAAATGCTTCTCTTGAGCAGAGCTCTCTCTAATTGCTTCCAGACTGCAACAGTCAGCAAAAAACCTGCTGAGGGCCAGATAAAGCCCTAAAAACTTCTCCGGTGTCTTCACGGAGGGGAGGCAGCCCCTTTGTACAACGCCCCTTGAGAAGGGGGCCCTGGGACAGAGCTCTGCAGCTCCAGTGGCCAGCCAGGCTCCCACCACGGGGACGCACCCGGGGTGGCCCCGCTCCTGGTGACACCATGCAGGGGTGTCCCGCGGTGCAAGGGGTTTTGGGGCAAGGGGGTGAAAAACAAGACCAAAACGCCCCTGGAGTGTCTCATTTCAGCATCTCCCTTTCCTAAGCAAGAGTCCCAACCGTTTTCCCCACGGGGATATTTTCTCAGCACAGGTCACTGCAAGAGCCCCAGCAGAGGTGTGATTTCGCCTCTGGGTCCCCCGGGAAAGGGCAGCCACTGCACCGCCCAGCCCTGGCAAAAGTCCCCCATGTCACGAGGGAGTGCTAGAAAATCCCAGTGAGAGAGAGCATGACTTTTGCCCCAAGAGCCTCCAAGGGGGAAGTTGTCACCGAGGTTTTTATCCTCCCCAAACCACCCAGCGTACGAGTCTCATGCATTTAAAATGAGCCTTGAGCACCGGAGTGCAGCAAGTGGGGTGGCCGAGCTGGCCGGGGAGGCAGCGGGGACCCACGGCTCCGCAGCTGGCATTTACTGGAAGGACTGGGCAAGCCTGAGCAGGTCACGCAGCAGCCCCTTTTCTTGCAAAAGGCTCCTTTGAGGCTGCCTAAAGCAGCGTGGAAAAGTCCCCTGCAAAGCAAGAGCAGGATTGGGAGACTGGAGAGAGCCAGGCTGGCAAATGGGGGACTTACCCCCTTGCTCATAGCTGCACTCGGAGGAGCTGAAGTTGACAACTCGTCTGCTGACGGGGTTGCTGGCCATGCAGGCGCAGGTGATGCTTGTGTTTTGCAGCGGGTAGGAGAGGTTCAGGAGGCTGCCATGGTGGGAGCAGAGCCCCGAGGTGCTGCTGTCCCAGCTGCCCCAGCTGTAGGAGATGTTGTCCCCTCGCTCCGCCGTGCAGTTGAGGGTGACGGTGCAGCTGCCGTTGGCCAGTGCCCAGCTGAGGATCTGGATGCTGGGATCGGACACTGGCTCTGGAGAGAGGGAGGGAGGGGGCAAAGGTTTGTGTCTGGGGAAGGATGGAAACGTTGCCTTGGCCCCTGCCTGGGAAATCCTGCTGGCCTCTCCTAAATCCCCAGGAGATGGAGAGGAACCAGTCTGGTCCCGGACCTGCTGCAAACGGCATTAGAGGGACATGGTCTGAACACACCCAAAGGCTCCTGGGGGTACCCACATGGGGCTGCAAGAGGGTCCTGGACTCACTGCTGCTTCTTGACATCAGGGTGGGCATCTCCCACCCTGCCCCGACCACCGCCCACCTCCCAGACCCGCTCCCAGCACCACAAGAGGCTGGGAGCATCCAGCACGGTCCTCCCAAAGCAGCGTGTCTCACCATACACCTCCAGCTGGATCTGCCAGACTTTCTCCTCTGGTCCTTTGCTGACGATGTACTCGTAGAGATGCCCGTCCTGCCGGCTGGTGTTCAGGATCTCCAGGGAGAAGTCCAACTTGTGGAAGCGATTCTGACCCTGCATGTAGTTGGTGTAGTTGCCGTGGCAGTACTCGAGCAGGATGAGCTTCCTCTGCGGGTCCTCCGTGTCCCGCTTCCACACGGCCTTTCCGAAGTGCAGGGTGAGGTTACGGAGTTCGGGGGGGATCTGCAATATCGTCGCCTTCCCCAAGGTGCCCAGCACCGTCTCCCTCACCCCGCGGCCCATGCCTGGGAGGAGAGCAGAGAGAGGGGCTGAGGCAGGCAGGGAGGCACGGGGGGCTCGGAGCAACCGTCCCCTACCATCCTGGCTCTGCTGGAGGAGGGAGGATGCCTGCGGAGCTGCGGTACCTGGCGACAGCATTGGACCCACCCTGCTAATCCACAGACTGGGGATGGCTTGTGTTGTGCGAGATTAATCCGTTCAGTTTTCGACTGATTTTCTAACCATGTTTTCAAGCTCTGGGTTATCCACCACATCCTGCACCAGCGATGGCTGGTGGGTGGGAACACGAGTTGCGCCATACAGCAGGGCTCCGTGTGAGCTCTGCCCCATGCCCACCCCGCAGGACCCTCCCCAGAGCCAAAGGAGTGACCCCCAACCCTCAGCCCCACATCCTCAACCCCCGGTTGAGGGCTCAGCTCAGGAGCCAGAGGGGAAGCGTTGCCTTCCTCTGCTCTTCCTCCCCACCCTCGCCTTCGCAGGGTGAGGCAAGAGAGTCTTCATTTGCATCAGCCTCAAGCGTTCTCCTGCATCGGGCACCGCTGTACGTGATGGCTGAATCCGGATTTAAGGCTCTGGGCTTTCTGTTGGCACAATGACAGGCAGCCAGCACAGAGAAACATCACCCCATGCAGCGGGGCTGCCTCGAGCAGGGGAAGGTGCTTGTGGTCCCAGTCTGGTGGGGATGCTGGTCCTGGGAGAAGGGTGCTGGCAGCGGTGGGACCAGCCTGGAGAAGTCCCGGTGACGCCAGGGCAGTCCAGAGGGAAGCGATGCTCGGTGGTTCTTGGCCAAAGCCTGCAGTTGGGCGCACATCATGGCACCCACCTCCCTCAAGCACCTCAGCTCCAGAAACCTTCGGTGGGACTTGTCTTGTAGAAATTGCAGGAAACGCAGCCTCCTGGAGGTGGGCTCAGGTGTAAACCCCAGTTGTCTTTCTCCTGGTCGAGGTGGTCCCAGATGTGTTTCTTGGTGGCCACGGAAAAGTGCTCTTAAGAAGAGATGTCCAAGCATCCCCCGCGAGTCCCAAAGCATCTCAACCACCCAGATTTCCTGGAGCACACGGCAGAGGATCTTCTCCCCCAAACCCTTTCTTTCTCGCAGCAAGGCAGTGATTCATATTTGCCCCCGCCCCTAGGCAAACAAGTTTGTTTTTGTAGGAAACAGCGTGGGGAGAGGTGCCAGCTCACCACTGCTGCCAGCCCCCGGCAGCGGGAGCGTGGAAGGGACCCCACCGTGTCACCCCCACGTTTCCTACCAACTTCTTTCCATCGGGGCGAGGCTTTGCCCCAGAGGGGAAAAGAGGAGGAGCTGCCCCAGAAGAACACATCTGGGGAGGCCCAGATAAGCCCAGTATCTGCCTCTCCTGCAGCACATATGGTTCCAGTAAAAACCACAGAGCCAATGCTCTCCCCGCCACCATCCCAAGCAAGTGCCATCGCTTATTTTTTCCCCCTCCACGGCACAAAACACAGCAGTTTCTGAGCTGTCCCTGTGGACTGCACTTCCCCAGCATCGAGGCAGCCATGCAGACGTGGCCGTCATCCCTCAGAAACCCCGCAGTCTGGCTGGCCCCGTGCCTCATACATTTTTTCTTGATACATTTACTGTAAAGCCCAGCACGCAGGCGGATTGCTGTATCTTCTCAGCAACGTGTATTTTTGACATGCAGCGGTTAAGTTCCTCATTATTTACCAAATGGAAAAGCCCTTTTTACATCACGTTAGAAAAACCCTCTCCTCCATCGAGGAGCATCTCCTTTGCGGGGAAGGTGACTCGGCTGGAGCAAGGCTGCAGGAGGAGGGATGCAAAGAGGTCTGAAACCAGCCGTGCTGAAGATGGAGGGGCTGGAGGAAGGCAAGCGACCCACACCGGCACAGCGCTAGGTCCGGAGCAGCCCTCACATCAGGTATTGGGCTCGTGGGACTTTCGGTGTGATGGCTAGGCAGAAAACCCCAGGGGGGATTTTAAAGGCAGGTATTCTAGTAACACTGAGCCAGCAGAGCCGAGAAGAAACCCCAGCTCTGCGAAGGTCTCTGGTTTCCTGGCGGAGCCATTTGTTTTACACCCCGTAGTTACACAGATGAAGTGGCAGCGGGCTCACGGGGCTGCAGGGACACACAGTGCGCCCAGGGAAGGGGAACGGACATCAGGCTGGCACCAAGAAGAGGGTCAGGATTAGTCACAACTCCCTTTGCTCTGCTCAGGGGCCCTGACTCACCCAAGCTTTTTTGCTCAGGTTCAGTGCCACCAAAACCGATTTTGCAGCATCCTCCCATAACTGCCGACGGGTTGGGAGGAGAGAAGCCACGAGCCCTGGGCGATCCGGGCAGTCCTCACTCCCTGCCCAGCTGGTCTGGAGCAGATTTCAACTCATCCAGGACACCATCGTCCCCAGGACGCCATGCACAGCTGGCCAGGGCTCTCCAGGCACCCAGAAAACAGGCATTGCCCCGCTGCCAGTCCCTTTCCACTCGCCTTATACACATTTTATTACTTGTGTACCATCTCCCAGCCCACCAGCATCTCTTGATCCGAGACACTCAGTATCGCAGAGAGTGAGACAATCTGTCAAGGACCTTCATCTCAAGTACCCCGATTCACGTCTGGTACTAAATTATTTGCTCAGTGCTATTAATACCCCATTAAAACGCACGGTAGAGTGCTTCACTATCGCAGCTACACTTTGTCCATCACCATCGTTGTTCATTCATCATCTTTTATTCTCTCCTCCCTCAGCCTGAGTAGGAGCATATTAGGGATGCACCACGCATCCAGCTTGGAGTTGCGAGCCATTTATCTTCTATATGAATATTTATACTCGATCTGCCTGTTGTAGAAGTCACTTTCTAGCTCAAATGGAATCCAATACATCGCATTAGTAGCAAGGATTGCTAAAGCCTTAGGCCACAAGAACTTTCACCTGGACACACTGACCATATACTGAACTTTTGCTTAGCTACATGAAGGAAGGCCCCGAAACCAGTGCAAACCAGAAAGATAAGGTAGGCACAACCATCAGCAGAAGCTGCATCCATTAAGAAAAGAAAAGTCCTGCCTGGAGACAGAAAGGCTCCAATAAGGACCAAGAAGACCCCAGACCCAAATATTGCTATTGAACGCAACCGTCGCGTGAGGGGAGGGGAATTTAAACTGTAAGGGTATAATCGCCCAGGGATTTCCCTGTTCAGGGTCCCTCTCCAGAGGCACCCAGCTCAGGCTGTTTTTTCACCGCTCTACCGCTCAATAAATTTGTCTAGCGCACATCGTGTCGGAGACTCTGCTTCAGGGAAACCTAGGGTCAAGCCTGAGCGGGGAGAAAGCTCCCAAGAGCGAGTGCGTGTGTGAGCAAGGAGTCAAAAAGGGGCACCCACCGCGAAGGGACTCCGGTCCAAGCAGTTAAGGTCTCAGGCAGTGCGTGTGCGGCTCCACGAACGGTGCACGAACACCCGGGCAGCAGCTTCTCCTTTAACACCGCCTTCCACCCGGCGCATAGCTCGCAATTTCTAAAGGTCTTAATATCCGACAAAAAACCCCAAACCGAGTATTTCACAGAGAGGAAAACGTACATACCCCAAACGCAGCCGAGAGAGATCAGCAGCCAGAGCCACACGCTGCAGCCCATGCCTCGGTTCACGGAGCCTCTGCTACAGTGGAGTTAGTATCTGCTGCCGGGCTCATTATAAGAACAGGTGTACTCAAGTCAGAGACCTGGGCCATGTGTTTACTGGTTTTGGCTGATTGACTCTCTTTTTTTTTTTTCTTAAGTGGAAAGTATTCAAAGCACTGAGTGGTGCTGCTGAATGCTTCACCGGAGACAGCGCAAGAGAGACCTCCAGAAGAAAGCAGAACATCAATTTATAGTTTGTACGAGAACTGCATCATCCCGCTACGGGTTCTTAACCTGACCCCCAGAAGAAGAGGAAACAACAATCAAGAAAGTCATTTCATGTACGGTAACAGCTTCCTGGGGCTGTACAGAGCCTTCAAACCCTGCTGCCGCAGCGGAGGTGGGCAGCTGCTCCTCCCACACAGCACCATCACGACTGCTAACGCTCGATCCCAGTGCCACAGAGCTGGAACCCGGCACAAAGCTCACCCAGAGAGCTGGCATCCACTGGTGCTCACAGCCACGATGCCCACCTGTGCAGGAAGGCCCCAAATATTCTGGGATTAACCCATAGCCCTGCTTTGGGCTTCGTGGGATCTGCAGCAAGGAGGAGCATGGGTGGTCTTTAAAAACTCACCGAGGAAAAGCCCAATCCTTGTTCTCAGGCTGAGGGTGCAGGGAGGTGATCTGGACTTCAGTTTGCTCCCGTTCAATGCCATCCCCATGGCCAGTGCTCGGGGATGGGGACGGTCCCCCCTCCTGGGTCCCCCCCACGTGGGGATGGAGCGGGGACCGCAGCCTCCTGCGGTCATCGGAGAGCCGGGGATGGGGAGCGTGGGGAAAACACCGCTCACTTGTTCCGCTGCTGGAAAGGGGCGGGAAAAGTTTGGTTGTTTCTGTGTTTTTAGTGGAATGAATTATTCACCTCCGTCGGTGTTCGGCCCGTGCCGCTTTACAATGGAAGAAGGGTTTTTTCCTATTGCTTTCTTCAAATATTTGTTGCTTTTTCTGGTTTTCAGAGGAAAGCAGAGGCGACAGTGTGAAGCAGGAATTCCTCTGCTGTTTTAAACCAAATTTGAGTGCCACAAGGAAATAAAGGGTGAACTTCCATCTCACTGCTTTTCAGCAGAGCCAGGCCCCAAGACCTCCATGAGTTTTGTTGCCAATAAATTATTTCTAATGACAAAAAGCCTAAAACCACACTAAACCACCCCAGCATCCTGCTAAGCTGCTTCTTCCCGCTCGGAAAGCATCTGGCCGAGAAGAAAAAAAAAACAAAAAACCCAAGCTATTTCCCAATAATCAGCAGTTCACAGAAGGGAAGAACTCAGCAGAGGCGTAAAAAGAAAGGCTGAGTAAGAGCAGTAGGAAGGGACTCGGCTCCTTTTCTCACCGCACACACGCGAGGAGCTTTGGCTTAGCCGAAACGTAGCGGTGGTTCCTAGTGGAGACAGCCAGCTCCCGGACCGAGCGCTTGGCCACATGACGGAGGGGCAAAAACATTGCCTCGGGGTATTTTGCAGAGCAGCAAGCTGCCCCGGCACAAATCCCACCCGAAGAGCCGGTGGTCAGGAAGGTCTCCGGTGGATGGGCTCCACCAGCTCGGCCCCGCAGGCAGGGCAGCAGGATGGTCCCCAGCCCTCCCCTCGCCATGGATGGGTGCCCCACGCTTGGGTGCAGGCTGTGCCACCATGGAGAAGGCCATTGACCACAACCTGGTCCAGGAAAGCCGTAAAACTCCCAATGTCACCCATGGGGCACTACCACAGCAGCGTGCCCCAGGCTGGGCTGGCACCGGCCAGGAGAAATGGGGAAAAATTATTTAACAAGCAAAACCATCAAGAAAAAAATCCTTCCAGGAAGCACCTGGGGGCACAAAAAACATGCAGGCAGTCAGAGAAAAGCCTCCTTTAACCAAAAATAATGATCCTAAATGCCTTTACTTTCCCAGTCAGCTTAGGCTGAAGTCTCCAGGCTGGAAAGATGACTGAGGCACGGCACCGGGCTCCGTATTTATTCGTCGCAGGAGGTTTTATAACGATGCTGGTGCTCAGCGGTCATCCTGGATTTTGTTAGAGGTAGAAGAGTCCCAAACCTCCATATGGGAATGGACCAAGACACAAGCAAATATTGTCAAGGGGGGGATTTCTGCGAAAATATACATTGGCGCTAAAACCATCAGCCACCCAGCAGGAA